TCGCATTTCTCGCATTCTTTAACACAAAGTATCGGCTGAATATTCGTTTACACGGTTCCTACATTGTATGAAACAGATCTACTCTGCGATCATTTGTGTTCGCCTCTGGAGATGGTATGCTCAGAAGTGACAACCCCTATCCTAAAACGCAGCATTTGTGCGTTACGAACGAATTCCTGTTACTCTAAAGTCTTCACAAGTCCTCATTTAATGTCAACGACCATTGCTGACTGATGAAAATAGTTCGATAGAGTACATAGAACTGTTTACAGGTAATAAAATGGTAAATCTTACTGAAAGTGAACAGTGTTCAAAGTTAAATAACGAATCAAACACCTTCAACAATGTTGTTTAAACTCGACATTTTACACATATATACATGTGGCAGTCTTTAAAGTAGAAGATAAATAAACTGGGAAAAAAACAACACAAAAACTTACGTCAACCTACAATACGCTTGATATAAGTGACTATGCGTTATTTGTGTCTGTTCCGAGTTATGTGTACTGGAATGCAAGGTGTAGCACAAACCCTATGTTAAAAAGGTCTTGTTAATGGTATTGATGAATTATACATGCTCTTGTTTGCTACTATGATCCTGTTATGGTCAGTGAACATTAAACTTTAGCCGCCAGACTCAAGCATTCGTTGGCAAACACTGGTCGTATTGAGCATATCATCGGATTGTCGTCACAATATGAAACTAAAATGTTGTAACGCGAAGACGTTTGACATACGTATTTGAGAGTCACATTTTGAGTGTATATTAACTGTAAAATTAACAGTTCAAGTGTACTGAGAATAACGTTGTCTTGTTTATGTTCCCAAAGAAAAGGACATTGATGGAATTGACCAATGGGATAGCCTGAGGACCGGTGCCCCGTCCAAACGAACTGAGTTCATATACAACTTGGACGATATGAATCCCCGTAATGAAGGACATGCGGCTATCAGGTACATGTCGAAAGTTTCAAAATACAATACATAGTTTTTGTCAATTGTGCGTTATCTACGACATCATCTTATATGACGTCACATTTGACAACAAGAGTTCACACTAGTTTGAATGTGTTTATCAACTCAATTCTGCCGTTTCTGCATGAAAACATTAAAAAGTCAGGTAAACAATAAAATGTTCGTGACAAAGACCTACCTCAACAAAAGCTTATTTTACTGTCGCTTATTCTGCATCGAACAGAAATTCTACAGTTTTATCTGCAGTGAATACAACGTAACGTTCATAGTGGTTACTATTGCATTTTGTTTATCTTCTGGTGGTTAAATAAGTTTTCATAAAACTTATTATTTCTGATAATTCACTAGTTATCATGTAATAGAAAAGTCAAATAACCATGATTTGTATTTATTCTACAAAAANCAGAAGACGCTTACCCTTCCACGCCACCTGGTCGTATCTCTACATTTGCGGAACACCAGATCTTATCCTTAATAATATAACCAGGTGTTCCGGAAGGGTAAGCGTCTTGCTTGATTGACAATACCCGCTTCAAGACATTTTATGTCAAATCGTATTGTGAAATATATATTTGTTCATCACATACCTGTAAGATGTTATATCTTCTAAAATGAAAATATTTTTGTTCTGTGTTTAGATGACCCGTATGAACATAACGACTTGTCCCTGTCACACTTGGATATTGCGGAGGAGCTGAGTAAGAAGATGGCTGAATATCACAAACAGATGATTCCCGCTAATTTCCCAAACAACTCTGCAGCTGCTAACCCTAACAATTTCGATGGATATTGGTCCCCTGGCTGGTGCTGATGAACAAACATGTTACTTGGGCATGATATATCTGAGACTGTTACACATCTGATTATAAAGCATATTTAAATGTCAATATCTAAATAAATAGCAAATCTTATAACTGAACATAAGCCATCTTCCGGCAGTCGGGACAGACTAAACGACAAAACATGTTCCATCACCTCAAGCATTGGCATACACCGTCGCAAAACATTGTTAAGCATCTTTCAACAGACATACACCGTGACAAAACGGAACGAAGAATCTTAAACAACAGAGCACACCATGACCTAAGAATTTTTGAATTGTATGATATTGTGTAATTTATAAGCTTGTTTGTTTTTATGATACCTGATGAATTAAAAATTGAAATTTTGGCTTTATTTTTGTTGAACCATTAGTCACTTTCTTTGAAATGTCCTAATATTTTTTGTAACTGTTGAAAAAAAGGTTAACAATAGAAACTGAGGTGTTAGGGAACAAGAGAGAACAAGACATCGTAAACCAGGATAATAACAGTAACGAAGGACAAATCAAGACACCGGGGAAGGAAACCGTAACTCTGAGCTGCAATGTTAACTAAAGGCGCCACCCAAACCAACAACAAAAACTGAAGAGACAGCAACAATTTTTATCTAATTTTTATAGTTTGTGATTGATTGATAGCAGCGAATGTTCTATTGTAGATCATGGGCGTTGTACGGGCACAGGAAAGTGTAGCGCAAATGGACTTGGTCGAAAGCCAACGACCAGGTTGTTCAATATGTAGGAACGTCTGCCTGGAGCTCGGGGACCCCTTAATTTGAATCCCGATCTGTCCATGCATGTTTCCACTCTTGTTATAACAGGATAACTATGCATACTAACACCACAGAGGTCGATGACCATTACATACTTCGTTCAAACTTATTGCATAACTGATTATACATAGCTGTGAACGTGTGATAGAGCTGCAACATGTATTTGAGACCTGTGTACCTTCTACAGAACTTATAATAGTCACCGTCCAGACCTTGTGGTATTCATGGTCACTTACCATTTCCCAGAATGTATAGAATATATATAATACCAAATATATGAAAAGAGTAACTGCTATTCACACGCAATTGGTGACAGCAGTAGTCGAACAGCGCGCTTTTTTTGTCTAGGAAAATAATTTGGCTGTGGAAAATAAATGCAGTGAAACTATGGGAAATATACACAAAGGAATGATACACATGTAGACTACTATATATACATACAGGAAAACTAAGGCCAGCTGTTCTGGAGGGTAAGAACCAGGGCTGGTAGTTTAAACTGATATATTGTTAACAAGTTGAACGTGCCAAAAATGTTATAGTTTACTCAGATAAGCTCCCTGGTTTATGAACAATAAATTCGGGGAAAATGAGGATAAATGATAAACTTTCATATAGAAAAAATACATAAGTTACATAAAAGTGAAATATCGAAAACTTACATCAATACTCTAATTCTATCATAGATAACTAAAACAACAAATTCGAGTGATAATGTTTGAACATCTTTCTAGGACACTCAGCACTTTGAACTTGAAGAATACGAATTGCATTTCCAAGTTATCTGACTTCGTCAATACACGTCCACCACAGATCCGTCGTTGTTGCCAACCCATATATGACCATTGTTCTGTATGGATACAGATGTAGGGGATACGTTGCCATGGAGAAGTACCCACAACGGAAGTTAGAACGTAGACAAAAGTTGGACCGTTTTGGACCATTCCTCGACTATTAGTATATCCCCACTGGATGTAAACTTCACATCATTGACACAGAACTGCTCGTCTGCTTTGCTGAAGGCTACAACACCGTACAGTACTTTTCCGTTTCCAGAGAATCTTAAAGTTAGCTCTAACTGTTCATTAAGGAGCACCAAATGTGTAGATATGTCGGCCGTTTTGTTGGTGACAGCTACGTTAGATTCTGATTTGTTTGTACAAAGTCGCCGAGGTACGACGAAGATGGTGTGCCCCTTGGCCGTGTTTTGAGCCCTGTTTAATTCATTGCCGTACCGTATCACCACTCGTTGACTGTGTGATTCTACAGTCATCGTTTCCTTGTCACACAATGTCAGGAGGATCTCACCGTTGGACATGTTAGCTATGTGTAGAGGACATAGAGGACATAGAGGTCCTGTATCAAAGAGGTGAGTTTCCCTTCCACTCGGAATATGTATCTTTCGAACAGTATCATCGAGGAAACAAAGCAGGATATCCTCGCCTTGCAATGTAAATCCGTCAATCGCTTGGTCCAATTTGATTAGCTTGGTCACCTTGCCAGTTTTATCAGTGAGCTTTATCTCATGTTTATCAAAACATCGAAGCCAGCAATGATTGGTGGTGTAATTTCGGATTTTGTGAACGCCATGTGATTCGGAATGTTGGAAAGAATGTCTGACAGCAAATTGATTTCCTATCGAACCTAGTGAGCGATTGGTCACTTTTATAGGATACTGGGATCCACGGACAGTATTTCCGGGGGCGACTCCATCCGTACAGACATTTCCCATACTTATATCACAAACAATGTTACTCTCTTGGGAGCGGATAAAGTAAACCAAGTAGGCGATCAACGAAAACAAATCCGACTGAAATAAAAGACTGTTACGCATGACTCTTTATACCGAATCAGAAATCTGGTCTCCGTTGACAATCGATACTTCTTTAATCAAGACAATTAGATGTATTCTGAGTAAAAAATAACTACAGAAGTTCGAGAAACGTTACAAGTACTAATCACGAGTTTTCCGGTTTTTCAAAATATAAAAATAATGATATTGTCAATTATCATATTTTTACCTACTTTATATTACTTTATATCCCTAAATTTGTTTTATCACATTGCATAGTTAATGAATGAACTCATGTCATAATAAAAAAGAATGAATATAATATACATTTTGAATAAATATTTTGCAGTACATTTCATTTTTTTGTGTGTATTTATTGTTACTTGGCAGGCGCAGAAATAGAAAAAAAAAATATAATGTGGATCCCGGTATATCCCATTATGTCAAATCAAAACACAGTTCTATACATATGTTTTATATAGGTACGAGGGTATATGTTGTGCTGAAACAAATAATGTTGGTGAATGTCAAAGTGAAGATGGATGCTCTAGCCCCCATTAACACCCTCCCCTTGATCCACCTATCCAGGATACCTTAAAGGTATAATTACCCTGCATGCAACATAAATAGAATGTATTAATGTTTATGTAAATTTAAGGATTTACCTTCATTTTGACGCCGTATACGGTAGTACGCACGCAGTTGACAACGAATATAGTATATGGTGCGCGTTAGCGCTCCATAAAGAATATGTTCGTTGCAAACAGGGTTCATACAACAGTATATACGCGCCGTCAAAATGAAGGTCAATCCTTATATTTACATCCAAAAAGTTTTTAAATGCTACAATAAGCAAAAACATTTTTTGGATGTGGGTTGCTAAGATTGTAACTACGGTACCCGGGTTGCTATGCTAAAACAGTTCCAGTGAATCTACACCGATATATGAGTTAATTAAGATAATTCACAGTGACTTACACTTTTTTATCCTTTCATAGCTTTTAAATTTTAAATTAAGAAATGTGAAAAGCCTTTCGAACATTTATACCCGTTACAACTGAGCATTTACGCTCATTGACACACTGTTCAAGATGTGACGCGGTCGATTGTTTCGGAACGAAGCCGCCATTGTTTTCGTTACCGTCAAAGATATCCCGTAGGACTATAGAATTCGTTATGCTACATGTAGTACAACTTCGGAAAACGGAGTGTTACGTTGAGAAAAAAGCCATGTTTACATGAAGATAACTGTTGGTAGAGACTAGTGTGTTGTATGATAATGAAAGAAATGTATTAAAAGTGCATTAATGGTTTTATGATTGAATAATACTGCCATCACAATCCCTGGGAAGCGGATCACTTTTCTACAACAGATTTGCAAAATGTCTACATGCTTACTAAACTACATTAAGAAATTGACATCTGTATATCTATCTTCAATTTATTCAATACATGCATTTTCTATAACTGCATATATTGTACCTAATCAGTCATTAAGTTATGAATAAATGCCGACTTTTAATGGTGCGTTTATGGATAAAGCTGTGTTACCATTGTAAATGACATAACGCATGCGTAACAGGTACCAAGCATAAAGCGCAAGCTTATATAGTTACATTATGTATTGTGTTATCATATTAACTCACCTGTCAGAGAAACCAGGATAACCAAACACGAAGAGTTTGACTTGACACTCATGTACCAACATACGGTCCAAGGTGATTGTCAGTGGATGATGTGGAAGGTATGTACTGGAAGAATATAATGCATGTATCCCACGATCGTGAATAAATAGATAACCCTGACTGATACCTATCAATGATCAAAGAAATGTTACACTATGAGTTACAATAATGATCACCGTAATCTTATGGTACTATGGATGCAATTGGACTGGTAGCTTCATGTAAGGCCGGTGCTATAAAAATACAATTAAATAAATATATTGGTCAGTATTTGTAATCAATCATCAGGATATTGATACTACTGTTATCATTACCTACGTTTAAGTGGTATGCATAACGTATTTGCTATTGGTTAAAACGCATAATATAAACCAATAAACAATAGTTCTTGAGTAATGTCTTAGGAAACAACAAATATATCCAAAATTTGCGCTGGAAAGCTGCACTGCGCAAAAATGCAATGTCACAATTATTGTGACGACATGCTGAATTTAGGCAATATATAAGGTAACACGATTGTCTGCGATGTTCTACGGGTTGGAAGTTGTAGAATTTGGGATATAATACTAACGTTTTTTTGAGAAAAAATATCCCCTTACTCCTAGTAATTTGATAACATATTTGCCTAAATACCACTAGTTAATTTCAAAACGTATGAAAGAATCGGAAAAAGACTAACTGAAATTTAAACACAAGGATTTAGATGAACTTGTCATGTGTGCTCAAAAGGAGGTAACTGCAACTTTAATTTGTTGTTTATTGTAGTTATTCTAAATTGAATATTTTGAAGAAATAAACTACGGAATATTGCTACAATAATTGACATATATGTATGAGATCTGGCATTCTATTACTGGTAAGCTAAAATAATTATTTTCCAAAATAAATGAAATATGATTGTGGATGCAGGTCATGGAATCATTCGCTACGCAGTCATGGTACAGCTATTCGCAGCAGATCAATTTTAAAGCGGTTTCATGTCAGCCCACCATC